GCCTGATCATATGCATCATTATGCCATGAGCCAGCCTGGTAACTGAGACTGCTGCTATATGACTCATGGGTGGATGATTTACATCTTGAGGTAGGATGGTACAAGATTTATCATTCTACTTAGAATGGAGCACAAATTAAAACTTATGAATTGCTTAGTTCTAGAATTTTCTGTTCAATATTTTTGCACTGTGATTAAACATGGGTAACTGAAACTCTAAATAGTAAAACCATGGATAAGAGGGGACTGGTATATCTGTTTAGTGTAATGACATGAAATTCACTCACAAAGGTGTGTGTGTGTGTGTGTGTGTGTGTGTGTGTGTGTGTACACATGCATGCATAAGGAAAGAGAATAGTACAAATACTGGTGTCAAATTCAGGTCTTTGTGAATATTTAGTTCCTAAGACCTTCAATAGGATACTGAATTCTCACAGCCCCAAGTTCCTATTAAATGATTGAAAATGATTTTTCTTTTTAAAAAAATATTTAATTAATTTGTTTATTTGGTACAGGGTCTTGCTACACAGCTCAAACTCTAGTGATCCTTCTGTCTCAGCCTCCCCAGCACTGGGATTATAGGCATGCACCACTACAGCTGGTTTCGTGGCCAGCTCAGCACTGAGCCAGCATGGCGTGTGGTACCAGGGATTGAACTTGGGTCCTTGTGCTTCTCACATAGGTGCTTAAACTGCCAAGCTATCTCCCCAGCCCAAATTTTTCTATATCATTTATCAGGTTTAGGAAGATTAAATGATACTATATTAATTTAACACGTATTAAAATCATTCTCAATGTATTCAGTTTAGTATCACAGAGTGAAAAATACAGTCACTGTCCTCAAGGAAAGCATGACTGGAAGGGCTGTGAGATGACGAGTGGTTGTGATAGAGGCTGTTGAAGATCTGGTAGAGGAATGCACAGAGAGGTGCAGATTCAATAAGAAAGCACGCATAACCCACCTGGAAAGTGCAGCGAGGGCCTCCCGCATAAAGTGAGGTGTTCTGCAGAAGTTAGCATCAAATAGGTGATGATCAAGTGAAAAGGGGGTGGTGAGATACACGAGAGAACTGGAGGGACATGGATAGCTAGATGTGAAGTTGGAAATGATGCTTTGGAAAGAATGGAAGGAGAAGAGTGGAAGAGTAGAAGAATAGTAGAATAGTAGCGTCCTAGGCCTGAATCTAGGGGTCCTAGCAGAGAAGCCTTGGCCACTTATCTCAAAAAAAGCAAAAGGAGAAAGGATGAAGGATGAAGGAGAAAAAAATTTTCATCAGTGCAGCTATACTAGGAAGGTACGCAGGACTGGGATGGAGCTGCAAGTTTGGATGGAGGAAAAGGAGTGGGGCAAGGGGTATGCAGTCTTTTTCAAGCAGTGGTCTGGTTGATCATTATCTCAGTTCATGCTCCACCAGGTAGCTCTGGAATGTTCTTACTGCTTGAAGGGGTAATCTAGTTCCCCTTAGATAACTATGTTTGCTTAAGGGGATGGGGGACAGTATCATTTCCGGTCTTGGGGTAAGCACTGCTACTTTGGGCAGAAGTTTTCATCATGAGGTGATTTGTCTGTGAGGCTCTGCTGTTCTGGAATCCAAGGTGACTGCAGGTTTAGAGCAATGGCTGGGGTGTGCTAGGTCCTGGCTCAGGTTCTCTGGAACAAGACATTGTAAAAGCTAGCAAATGAATGTCCCCACAAATCTTGAGAATTGCTTTATTCTTTATTTTAATGTGCACAATCTCGAAGTGGAATGAGATGGATGCATTTAGGGATAAAATGAGTTTTTAGACAGACATTCTGTAAGTGATTGCCAACCCTATGTGCACAGGTCTCTGGCCCAAAAATTAAGGCACCAAGAGATTAAGGCAGAGGTCAAGCTTTATCCAGCTTTTAATAACCCATCAGGCATGTGCAGTCCCAGGTGAGGAATCAGTGCCTTTTTTTCACAAGGACAGTCTCTAATTCTCTGTCTTATGTTGTTGCCCTCTATAAATATGGTTTTCCAAGCCCTGACTATGACTAGAAAGAAACACGATGCTGATTTCTCACAAACTATAGCACAGAAGTGGTATTTTCTTGGGGGGAAAAAGAAGAATCAGGTGGAAGAGAATTATTAGATTATGCCAACCATTTGGATTTTATCACAAAGGTGGTAGAAGCCACTGAAGGATTTTAGCTGTTGGTGAGTTTGATTTGGCTTTAAAAAGCATCTGTAATTTTTTAAAAATCAAGAAATATAAAAATGAAATGGATGGAGGAAAATTCTAGTGAAAACTTCTAAAAGGTAAAGTTGGAGATTCTAGACTCATTCTACCAAAAGACTTTTACGACTGATAAGAGGATTCAGAAAAGTAGCAGGTTATAAAAAGAACATTAAAAAATAAACTAGCTTTTTTGTATGTCAATAATGAACTGGCTGAGAAGGAAACTGGGGTCTACAACAACTTGAAAAACAAACAAACATAGGTATTAGCATAACCAAGGAGGTAAAGAACCTGTGTCAGAATTTCAAAACTTTGACGAAGACACTTGAGATTGAAAGTCCTTTCAAATTCATGGATCAGTAGACCGACTATTGTTAAAATGGCCATGTCTACAGATTGAATTTGAGTCAATGAACCCATGGCAAAAGAAGTGCATATCTCTCAAAAGAGGTACAAATGGGTGATAAATAAGAGAATTCAGACAGTCAACATCTTTAGCTATTAGGTAAATGCACATTAA